GATAAGTCATGCGTGCAAAGCAAGCCTGACATGTCAGGTTAACAGCCAGGCTATATACTTACTATATTTGTCTTGCTCTACATGCTGCATCAGAGACGTTGCACAGTAAGTACAAGTCTAGCATCAGACATATCAGTATTTATATGTGGTGACCTGGTTTGCCAGGCATCCAGAACGACACCTGTGACAAGAAATGTAGAAGAAAAGTGACGTGTCTGTGTGCTTTTCATGTAAGAAATTGTATTGACCAATCAAACACGTAAGACAACACATCCTCTACTAACATAATACTCCACAATACATGGGATCTTCAGTATTTTTTGAACTTATTTTTTGTTAGCATGCCACGTCATAATTGCTCAGGGGAGCATGGGGTCAATGTCAGTCATTGTGACATGACTCGTGGACAGGAGACAGAATGGGATTGCCTACTAAATAATAATGTTATGATGGTAGCGCTAATGCCCATAACCTTGCCACCTAAGAGCTGATCTAAAAGACAAGACTTTGATGTTGCCTACAAGTACCCCCACTGCAGCTTTGGGAAACAGTATCAATAACCTCAGACAGAAATGTGACAGCACAGTCACCAAATTGTTCCCAGCAGAGCTAGGGATTCTTCCACAAAGCTTATGTAGAATCAAAGGAAACTGAAGTTGGAGGGCATATCAACCGGTCTGGCACCAACACCTCGGCTGGTCTGCCTAGTTTGGTACCTCAGCTCTCAGGTCATTGAGAAGATGTGAGGCAAGGACTGCTCCAATATTGATCTGTCAGGAATCCACTGAACTCCACTCCTGGGCATGAGTCAGACTTCAAACCATTGACCAATCACTACCCTTTAAGCCTGGTAGTACAACCGGTTCTTCCCACACCTTGTGGCCTGCCCATGATGCCCATATGTGCCTATCTCCTCAGTCATAAGGTTACTGAGGAAGACTATATTAAAAATGCTAATAAAGCCAAGCTTTGGCTTTCCAGATTGCACCTCTGTAACTTAAATACTATCATCTGAGTGAACTGATGGAATTACAGTCCAGTGTACTTTGTTTACAAACACTGTATCTATAGAATGCTTTCCAGAAATGCTGTTTAAGGAAGGTGGTTATTTTTCATCTGTATTTCATATTTTGAAGGTTGAAAACATATGTGGGTGTGCTGCATGTTCAGGCATTTATTGAGTTCGTACTGTGGAAAAAAACAATCATTCTAAATGCTTCTTTCTTCCTTTGTTCTTTGTTATTAGTTGGTTTGTTCCAGTAACCTCGAAGTTGCTGCAGAAAGAGTAAAGTGTAAATGCATACACCTGATAGCAGGACATCAAATGATTCATTATCTTCATCACTCACTTTGACTACTAATCCTTCTCTAATATTTTCTAATATTTCAGCTTTGCCTAAGTAGCTTTAAATGACTACCATAAAAAAAACAGCCTCTTAATGAAAGAGTTCCTTCTTATTATTCAGATCTGGACTTGATCCTACTCTAAAGCAAAATGGGAAAAAAGAGAGAGAGAGAGAAATTAGTCAGAATTTTATTAGTTGTGGTCAACACATAAATGACAATTCAATAGTGATTCTTTTAAACCTTACCAAACCTAAAAATGGCAGATTTTTTTCTCTGAAGAAAGGAAGTTTCCAACTCTCCTAGAAGGTCAGAATATTTATATTTACTTAAGAATATCTCAAGACAGCTTCCTTACATGTAAAGATGCCATTTATTCAACAAATCCTGTATTTGCTCATTTCGTTGGTGTTCTTTTTTATATGCAAAAAAATGCCTGTCTGGTCTTATAAACTTTCACAATAATAAAGAATTGTCTATTTCTTAAATAAACAATCTAACTTGTTGAAAGAAAAGAAATATTTTTCTTTTAAGTATGTGGCTGTATACAATAGGAAGTTGTTTGAATTGGCATAGAGTGAGCACTGTACATATTCTGTGTGGTTATATATGACTTCTGTTCTTCAGTAATATGTTTAATGATATCACGACAGCTGTGGTTAAGGTGGCCAAAATTTGTCTCTAAAATTCCTCTTCCTTCAGAATTTAGTCAATTTTCATAGCTGAACTGTTACTTTCATGCTCTGTTTGGAAAAACTTTGGAAAAGATATCTGAATATAACAAACACACACTTCTGTTATTACAATCAAGTCCTCACTAATCACAAGGGGATGTGTTTTATACTTAGTAGCTGATTCGTCTACTTGCTGCATGCTTTTTTGGCCCATCATTATATTTGCTGTCTCATCAGGGTGGGGAATAGGATTAGAATCCAAACCAGGGCTGAGCTGATCACACAGCTGCATAAGCTAGTGCGACTGCCCCTTTCATGAGTCTCCTTTTCCTTGTTATGAGACAGGGCAAGAGGTGTGAGGAGCTCCTTCCTGGTGCCTACTAAGGCCTCAAGAGACTGAGAAGAAGAGAAGAACCTGCTCTAGGAGTCTCCATGTACAGTCTAGGGTCTGGTCGAGCAATACCCACCTTATTGGGAATCCAACTCCTTATGTCAGCTGGAATCCTGAAAAACTTTGAGAAATCACATCCCAACTTTAGACTCACTTCCTCATGGTGGCCAGGGGCCTGCACCATTCCAGTGATACTGGGCTTCTCCCTTCAGCTCTATGCGTTTCTGGCAGGGAATTCCCTTCCCCAGGGAAGGATGTGAGGGGTGGAGGGGGTGTAAGAGCTTTTAGGGTGATTAACGCAGTGGTATGAGCCTCTGAAAGGTCACGCTTGGCTCTCCTCAGCTCCGAGCCCTACTCCCACTCGGCTGAGAAAACTTCCTCGACATGGATGGTGCACGCTGCTACTCCGCGCGACACCTTCCTGTCACAGACGGGTGCACAGAGCCACTTCCCCATACGAACTTGTCCACATACAGTAGAGAGACCCTGCACTTATTTCATCACAAATGTGCCCATCACAGACTTCTCGGCTTCCTTCCTCCCCTCAACCGCTCCAATCTGACCGAATCAGTGAAGGCGGCAGCGTGCGGAGCGGCAGCCCCATGCAGGCAATCAAAGCAGAGCCTCTGCCGTGGGCAGTCAGTGTCTGGAACAGCCCATCCAACATAGCAGCGCAACGATGGGCAACCTTCTCCCTTTGAAAACCTCAGTCACGAATCCTCGCTCTTTGGAGTTTGCCTTTACCCAAATCTTCAAATCATAGACCTCTGGGGAGGCAGGGGACCAAAGAATAACCAAATTGTGATGAAGAGGCACACAGCAGCAGTTGAAACACGAGCAAAACACGCTCTAATAATAGCTGGTAAACCTACAAAGCACAAAATGGCAACCTCCGTCACCTGGCAGCTTTTCCCTCAGGTTTGCAAGCTCTTTGGCTCTTTCAGGCCAAGCAGCTTTCAAGGTCTCTCGGCAGGGCCAAGGTACAGCACTGACTGCCACTGCTTGGGTCTGCACTCTCATCTGCTCCTGTGGTTTCACCCCTCAAGGGTTTTGTCTCTTTACGGACTTTTTAGCTGCTCTTTGGCCAATGGCTTCCCACATCTAGAAGTCTTCGAAGCCGCTCTCTGGGGAAAGCCGCGTTGTCCAAGCTCCCGCGGTCGTCATCAGCCTGTAATACTTGCTGTTCCCAAAACCTCTGCTCCCAAAGGCAGAAGATCAGTTGTTAATCACAGCTTCCATTAGAGAAAAAAATATTAAAAAAAGCTTCATTATTTCCCCCTGGGTTTTGGAGAAAACCTTGAAAAGAGCCAAGATGAAAATTCCAGGCTCTGAAGACAAATAAAAATGTTCAATGTATCCATGTTAAATGTACGGAGATTTGACCCAAGCTGTGACTTCTAAGCGGAGAGTTGGTTTGTGACTCAGGTTCCCACCTGGGTGCACAGGAGGCAGGACAGACGGATGGACGGATGATGGTGGCACCTCCGAGCACTGGCTGGGGCCCTGAAGGGCCAGCGCCTCCCTGCCAAACTCTGACAGCAGCAGTGCTGCTTCCCCCAATGCCTATGCTGACCAATGGCTTCACCACGATGGGCAGAACTAGCGCAGACAGGGAAACTACCCGCACCCACCTGGGCAACGCCAGGCTGCGTCGCCGTCGAGTATTTCCGTTTTATTTTATTAAAATAACATACAATAAAATAAAGGAAAAATAAAGTAAGATAAGATAGAATAAAATAAGACTAGGCAAAATAAAACAAAAATAAAAATAAATAATAAAATATAATAAAATTATAAAATGAAACAAAACAAAATAAACCAAAGTAAACCGACCCAACCCAACGCCCAGAC